TCCAAAAGATTTGCTGCACTATATTTTAGTTTTAATAGTCTGTCCTTTATATTAAATAATGATTTTAGAAAAAATGTTTCATGCTTCATATAATTTATGGAGCAGATACATGTCCAATAGCTTCTCATACCAAATTTTTACAAACAAGTGTTAACATCTGTTGCTTTGGATTTTGCAATCATTTTTTTCAGATTACCTTAAGTAACTTCTTATCAATATATACTTTATACTATATTTATGCTTCTTATAGGAGGAGATGACCTTTTGCCTTCTCTAATCAAAAGCAGCCTGCCCTTTTGCTTCTTAAGACCCACACCCTCCTTAATACTTAACACTCCTTGCTACCAGGAACCTTAGACCTGACCTTCATCCCAAATTCTTGTTCCTGTGTAATTTGAAGTGGGAAAAACTGAACTGGAAGCTCTAACAATAGATATTTGGATCTGTAATTATTTAATTAAAGAAGGGCCAACTGCAGATAACACAACTACAGCAAGAACAGAAACATCTGCTTGCCAGGGGCTATGATTGCCGAAGATCAATGATTTATATAGACTTTGGAGATGCTGGTTACTAGACAGCAGGGTGGATAAAAATCAATGATTTTTTTAAAAAAAATAAAAAAAATTGGATTTTTTTTATTTAAATCTGATTTTTTTGGATTTAAATCGGATTTTTTTTTTATTTTTATCGAATTTATTTTAATAAAAAACTTTTGGGGTAAAATCTATCGTAAGATAGTTTTCTATTTAAGATACATAAATAATTTAGTTTATTCAGCATGAAATGGACCTTAGTTGTGTAGCATGAGGCTGTATATTCTGCAACACTGGGACTATCGGTGAGTCAACAATGGGTCAAAGGAGTAGCAGAGATGACAGTTGCTCTTTAAAAATTATGATTTAAATTGAGTTGATTTAAATCAAGCCTTTTTACTAGTGATTTAAATCATGATTTAAATTGAGATTTAAAGCAACTCGATTTAAATCAAATCCACCCTGCTAGACAGGAACAAGGAGAGAAAGAGATGAATCAAATGGCAACACATCAATTGCAGAATCAAATATAAACTTAACCTTGTAAGGTTTTTACATATTTGCCAATATATATATTTAGGTCATCCAGCTGCCTCCGAAAGCAAGTTCATCAGTGCAGCATGGGAATTATGAAAATTCCTGCTCATTGTTCAAGAATGAATTGGGCACTCAACCAGGGGTTAAATTCACTTACCTTCCCTATTGGTTTGCAAATGTGTCCACGCCGTGTGTGCTCACTCTGCTTGTGCGCACCATTGTCTGTGCATGCGCAATGCCTTCTGCACATGTACAGATGCTTAAAATGTTGCAAAAAAGCAATGTCATGATATCTGTGCAGGTGGGCGGAGCCTCTTGCAGCCGCCACTACCGGTTCGCCCGAGCGGTTCAGCCAGAGAGAACTGGCTGAATTTTACCCCTGCACTCAACATGGCTAATTGTTATAGCTACATCACATCCATTCCAAACATTTTTCACTCTTTTTTTAAAGTCATGAACACACTTTGTAACACTTCTGTGCGTAAAGACTTCCCTTATATATTTCAAGTAGTTTTCAGTCTTAGGATCACAATTGGATCCTGAATTTCTATTGCTAAGCAGGGCAAATGGGTTGCACCCAGTTTTATTACCTTTTTCTTGCCACGGTTATTTAGTGAATCTGGCTTCCGCCATTTTTGCTTGAAGTAAGCTGGCTGAGGTGGTCACAAATAGCGATTACATAACCTTAGGACACTGCAACTATCATAAATTCATGCCAGTTACTAAGCACCTGAATGCTGATCACATGACTATGGGGATTCTGCAATGGCCATAACTGTGAGGATTTTAATTTTTTGTTTTAAATTCTCAAACAGCATAGGTTGCCAGAGTCACCAAAGGAATAACAGAAAGAATGGGAAGAGACCTTGGAAATCTTCTAATCCAGGGGAATCAAACTCGTGGCTTCATGTCATCACATGAAGTATCGTGATTTTTTTCTCCTTTGCTAAACCTGGGGTGGGTGTAGCCTCCACACAACACATCTGGCCTGCAGGCCGTGAGTTTGACACACCTGTTCTAGTCCAACCATTTCAGGCAAATGAAATGGCAGATCTCCTCTTAAAAACCTTCAGTGTCAGAGCACCCACACTTCTGGAGGCAAATCATTCCACTAATTAATTGTGGAGATTGTTTGTGATTAATTAAGGAGAAACTATAGGAAAATGTATCAGACCAGGAAGAATATGTCCCAATAACAAACCAATGGAATCAATAATCAAATTCTACCCTCGATTAAGAGTTAAGGCCAAGTTGGTTTTCTCTGTTTCTGAAAATGACTTCACTGTTTCTTCTGCCTTGCTCTTTCTCCATTTTACTTCTCTTTGCCATGTAATCATACAGACACTTATGACATTAAGCTTTTTTAAAAACAGAAGATTTTCTATTTTAATCCTACCACAGAGAGAGATAGGTGTATCTGATCGGTGTAGGTTTTCTAACATAAATACTTAGAATTATTGAACTGATCCATTATGATTCAACATAAACATTCAGAAATACTGAAGTGAGACATCACAATCCCAGAAGCAAAGCTTGACTCCTAAGAGTTGAGATACCAATAGAAAGGAACAATGTTATGACTAGGTTTGAAACCCTGGCAGCTGTGAGAGAAGTGCTAGGAAAGTCCTTTGCCTTAAACATCTTGAAGAATTGATGTCAGCCGGAAGAGACAATATCATCCAAAATGGAACAAGGATTTCAGTCAAAACTGAATCAAAAGATTCCTTTGTTCATAAACAAAACTCCAAACTTTTTTGCAGTCTAATATATGTGATATCCCTAATTCTATCTCTATCTATCAGCAATGACATAATTACCAAGCTATCAATACAGGTTTTATTAATACAATGTTTTGACCAGTAGTGGGTTTCACTTACCTTGCAACCAATTCCGAACTGTGAGCACTCGCCCATGCGCAGAACCTTCTGCACATGCGCAGAGCGTCCGTGATGATGTCCGGGTGGATGGGCGGAGCTTCCCGCCGCCGCTGCTACCAGTTCACCCGAACCGGGGCGAATCGGTAGAAACCCACTACTGGTTTTGACCTATTATTATGTATTATGCTTGAATATACCCCTTCCACATAATTGTATTTTACCCCAATATAAAGCCAGATGGCAGTGGTTGCAGTGGTTTTGTTTTTCGAACAACTCTAAAGATGCATCCTACTGAAATATTTCAGAGCTTAAACTGTTATTAGTTTTAAAAGAAAACATGAATGGAAGACTTACAATTTCCACTTTGTTACTCGGAAACTCATAGTACAACCAATATTAAATGCTAATATTATAAAGCTATGTTGTATTCTTTGCCTAAGCAAAAGACAGAATAGAAAATAACACCCTGTATATCTTATTTTCAATAAACTCAGATGGCCTAATATAAGAAGTAGAGCAAGTTGATGAAACAATCTTGATTTAAAATACCTACCCTGTGAGGGCAATTTTACACATTATTTGCAAGACATTGTGATAATCTCTTATCAAATTATTAAACTAAATGCATCTGTCATAGGAAAAATTTCTCTAATGCTACAACACACAATTTTCTTGTTTACATCTAATCATAGCATCATCTTCCCTGGGGTAAACAGCCACTTGCTTCAGAGAATAACCAAGAATTATTGGTGCATATGAGAAATAGAGACCGTGAGAAGAAAGTCTTTTATCAGCAACTTAGTACAGGACGAATACATGAACACTTGCCATTAGACATCCTTTGAACTTTGCATACCTGCTATGAATATGTATATATAATGGCAAACTAGAGTTTATGAGTGTATGGAAAACTACCAAGATGGAGCTTGCATAAAGGAGGGAAGTGGGAGCATCTGTAGAGAAGTTCAACGTATATAAAAAATCATTGAGACTTCATTTGTGCTGTCATGGCTGCTATCTTGACTTTTTTTTAAAAAAAAAACTTCTTCTCTGTATACTGCTGGACATGGGGGACAGGAAACAACACAGATATGTGGTTTTGTTGCAGCCCATAGTTGTATTCTGAATCAGAAAAAAGAATTGGAAGCAATAATTTGTCCTACTCTAATAACTGATAATGCAAAGCATCTGCAAACTCCAGTAATAAAAGTCAAAAAAGCCCAATGAAAGATGGGACTACAATTACATATAAAGAAAATCGAACTATGACAACAGGTAGCCTCAGAAAAGACAGTGAAGATATAGAAGTGGTAGTGGTAGTCGAGAAACACACCACAGACTAGCACTTGCTGGAGCAGCCATGAAGGCCTCAAAAAAGATATTCAGATCCTGTTGTGAGTTTATTCCTACATTGATCAGAACAGAACAATTATATTTCCCCTACGGAAGTAAAATTTGGACTTTAAAAAGGCAGGATTGCAAAAGTATTGATGGTTTTGAACTTGGGTGTTGGAGAGGATGCCATAAAATATCATCGGGAGCCAAGAAAACAAATAGATCACCAAACAAATCAATCCAGAGTTCTCACTCAAGACACAAAAGACCAGGCTCAAATGAGCATTTTTCTCAGAGCTGGGGTGGGCGTGGCCTGCATGTGACACATCAGGCCCATGGGCCACCAGTTTGACACTCCTGGGTTAAGGCATAGATCACCTTGTAGAACATCTATCTGATCACTAGGAGTCAAAAGCAATTTAGTGGCACATAATTAATAAATGTAGCATATAAATACACAAGTTAAAATTGTTCTGATGAATTTAAGTTTTTTAAATCTATATTTTAAATGTTATTTGTTGCCTTGAGTGTTCATCAGAGTAGAAAAGCAGATATAAATTGTTTGAAATAAGCCATCATTATTATATAAATAATATTATAATATCCCAATTTTTAGATCGTTTAAAAAGAAGACAGGATAGAATAGTGGTGAAATAATCCACAAAAAATATGCTCCTCAAATCTCATTATTATATTACCAGTTGTAATAAACATACAGAGGCTACTACATGTGCAGATGTGAAGTGCAGATGTCCAACTCGAATGGGAGGAAGAGTGAAAAGGAAGGCAAGCTTAGAGTCCTTGCACACAGGAAACGATGCAGATCTTACCTCCCCCAGAATCCTTGAAACCTTTATCTGGTATTTTCCAAGAAAATACATTGTCACTAGACTTGTCTATAATAGGGTCTGGGTTTCTTGAATTCTTGAAACACTGTAGAAATCCAAGCTGCAATGTGTGATGGTTGCACGTAGTTAGCATTTTAAAACATTATTTATACTGGCCCAGTATAAATAATATATTAGGCTGAGTAGCCAGGAAAAAGTGTCTCATCTCTCTAGACCTCAGCTACAGAGAAGAAAGTCCAGTGTGTTGAGGCACTATTTTTACTGTGTCTCATGTAAAACTCCACCAAAGCAGTGGGAACATTATGCACAGAAGGCCTGTCCTATACTCATGATGCTGTCAGGCACAAATAACCAAATGACAGAATGAGCTGATTAAAGTTATTTCTTTATTGCTGCATGCCTAGTTACAAGAATACTGCATAACGGACTTCATTTTCTTCATCTTATTTTTATTACCTGCTTACCACAAGAAATTCAAAATGGCTGCTATATTCTTATGCCACTTATTTTATCCTTGCAGTAATTTAGTGAAGCAAATTAGACAAGGTTCAGATGCTTACACAGCAATTATAGATCTTAGAATATGGTTTATTGTTAGTGTGATTTAAGAACAGAATGGTTTATTCAACAAACCATGTTTTGTTTTGTTTTTTTAAAAAAAGAACCCACCCAATAATTGACCCAATTTCATGGATGAGTGATTTGAATTTGGATTTCCCTGGTCTGATATTTATTACAATATAATTGCATTATTAGCTACAAACAGCTCTCTATCCGTGCACATTTCTTTTATACGTAGTTAGAAAACAGACATTACTATTTTTATCAATCTAAGTTGGTGTACAATAATTGTAGCTGCAGATGCTTTATTTTAGCTGTACAATGTTCTTTAAAATTATTTTATTAAAATTTGTAAATACCGTAGCTCATTTAGTTATTGTGTGCCACCCCTTGACTTACTAAGAATATAGTTTTTAATACCGTAGTGGCATTATTTTCAACATGAAGTCTTGTAAATGGAATAGATTAAGGTTTATATTGATATACATACAACCCCTATTTTAGACATGAAAAAACCCACTCTTTTTACTATCCTGTAATCCCTTAATTCAGGGTAAAGTCAGAGTGATTGGATGGAGCTGAACATACTGGTCGGATGCCTTTCCTGACATCACATTAGTTCTTAGCTCTGAGGGAAAAACATCTGCCACTACCTAGGATTGAACTCTCAACTTTCCAAGTGAGAAATGAGAATGTTCACCACTAGGCCATCATCCTAGTCCCATATTTTAGACAAAATATAAAGGCCACTATAAATTGACATATGGCAGTAGGAAGAACTAAAATGAATTTCATGGTGTTTTATTTCTTGTAAGTTTGAATGACAGAAGAGAAATATTCATTGCAAATTACTAAAAAATACTTGTATCTGATAAATTTATTTACTTGTATCCCACCTTTATTATTTTTACAAATAACTCGACATGGAGAACATATCTAGGATCTCAAATCAAAGGTACTGAGCTCATTCGTTATCTAAATTTAAGATATAAGGAAGCAAATGACAGCCACTTGTAAAACAACCTGATCTTGACTCAAAGCTGCTTTTTTTCAAGAGGCAACAGAAAACCATGACCTGAATAACTGAGAATCTCCATAAACCTGATCTTGACCAGCTGGGCATTTGACTACAAAAAGGTACCATCTTTAGATCACAAACGTTTTTATATGATAAAAATCTACTCTATATTAAGCAAGCATAACATGGCAGCTCTATTTGCATTCACATGCATTCACAATACAACAAAACTGATATTACCACTACCAGAGGTCTTTCATTTGCAGCTTCAATCTGCTTGTTTAAAGCAAAATGGACATAACATTCTTTTTACCCAGATTTATCTGCCCTTGACTTTTTCCTGTATTCCTGATTGTGGAACGTACACAACATGTTGTTCTTAATATTATTTAAATAAGTATCTCAGTACAATAAATTCTGAAGTGCAGCCTGCAATCCAGCCTGTAAAAAGAAATGGGTTTTTCTCTGCCAGCATTTGATTGCCATGTACAGATCTGGGACTGCTTAAATCCCATTCACATGCATGCAACACCCATTTAATTAGACCTTTCATCTTGTTGATGCACACGCAAAGCATGTATCCTTGTTCATACTCTACCATGGTGGATGAAACTACTATCATTAACCAAGTGTATAAATGCACATAGACCACAGCAGAATGTATTTTCAGTAAAAGAGCTTTTTAATAAGAAAGCAACTTAATACAATTACATTTTCTTTCTAATCTTTCCATTTTCTACAGAATACTGGATTTTTAAAAAAAGAAAAGCTTCTGATTTTAGTGTTTTTAGCAAAAAACAAATGACAGATTCATATAATGAAACCTACCAGGCTTCTGGCTAGGATTATAGAGAATAATCAATGTATTTTGCAAACAGAAACCCTACAATTTTATTCTTAGCACCTTAAGAAACTAGATTGGAAAATACCTTTTCCTGCAAATTTGGAGAACTAATGGTGATCTGAGTAGAAAGTACAATTTACTTTTTTATTTATATATGTATGCTGACGGTCCAATTACAGATGTATATAAGACTCTTACTAAATTATGCATTCTCTTCATTTTCTTTAAAAGAGAAAAGTAATCATTAAATACCATAGTGAAAGTGGAAGTGGGGGCATATATTGATTTACCATAGCTATTTACATATCAATAAAAATAGATTATAGGAGATCACTAACTTGCATAAATATATATACTCTTTCACATTTGAATAAATATTCTAAAAAGAGAAATGAAATTCAAGTTTACTTTAACCAGTTGACCTCTAAACTTGCTTTTCAAATATTCATGTTTTGAAAGACAACATCAAAGTCCCCAGACTCTCTTTCTCGGTTCTTTATCTTTAATTTGAAATTGGACCAAATTGCTCTCCAGAGGATAACCAAGATGACACAAGGCCTCTCCACTTATTGTTCATTAGAATTATTCACATATATACTTTTAGGATTCAAATCCTAAATAGGTGTTTTTTAAATAAAACGATTAAAGATCAACATAACACAAGTCCAGCTAAAACAGGCCTCAGATATATCAAATATACAATATTCAATGAGATGAACATACTGTGGACTCAGATAAACAAACAGAAGGGAACAGGGAAATAGAAACTTATATCTCTGCAAGTCACTTCCTGTCTGTTCTCTAGAATAATCTAAATTTACTGTCTTCTCTTGTTTATAAAATCAGATGGGGAGGGTCGCACAATGCCTTGATAATTCTTGTTTGCAAACCTTATGAAAGTAGATCTGTGCCATTTCTTTTCACTTAATTTTTATTTAAAACATTTATAATGTTGTCATTTCGTATTCTTCCTCCATTTCATACTAGTATCAAGTACAATGTATACCCTCCCCTATCTTCTTCCTCTCTTTAATCTAAAGTCCACCTTGTGGCCTATAAGGTATGTCCCATTTTAGTATTTATTTTGTGCACCAAATTTGAGGAAAGGAAAATTTTGCTATTATGCACAGCAAATAACACTGTGCTGCAAATGGCCAATATTCATATGTTGTTTCTCTGTAAATAAATAATAGGCATAATACTCGACTGAAGCTGCAGAAAGAGGAATTCAGAATAGCACAACCTAATTACTGATTCTGGATTTTAGCCAGATCACTGCAACTGACATCCCTGTTCTTGTGAGATCTTTCAAAAGTGCAGTGATTTGTTACAATGCTTCCCATAATTACATATGAATAGAAGTGAGCTTTCAAAGCGTTACATAAAAATATCTGTCATCAATTCATTAGGTATCAGAATTGCAAAATGCTGCTGTTTTAGAGATTTATCTTTATATCTCCAGCATCAGACAACAAAAAATGTGAATTGCAGCTATTGTGTAAATAAAGCAGGTGTGCAGAAAAGACATGCATGATTTAAAATTTAAAAATCCCTACTTGTATTGTCAGGGTTGCTAAACAAAAAGCAGTAAATCGGTAGCCCTAGTTTATGATCATTCATTCAACACAGTATTTGCCACTATAAATATTAAGACTAATTTTTATTGAGTGAAATATCAAAATTAATTTGTTTTAATTTTTTAAACCACAGTGACAAAAATAATGAGCGTTATTTTAAAAAATTAATTACATTTCCATCCGTGCAAATTAGATACAAAGCTAAAAATGTATTTAGATTGTTTTTATTTCGGTCAATAGAGTGAGACATGATTTAATTAATGGCTGAGTGCATAAAAATATAATTAATTAGCTAATACAAATATTAAATTTTTAAGTGCAGCAAGATGCATTCAGTTAAAGACAAGCTGCATTTGAGCAATTTTTAATACTTTCAAAATCATGCAGGACAAAATGTCCTCCCCACAATCGATTTACAAGATTAATCTGTGGGAAGAAAATGGCAATCAAAGTTGATTCCCTATGCTTTCTGTCTTGTAATGCCACAAAGCTGATGAGATTCTTGCAGAAACAAAGCAAGAACAGAGCTGCTGCCATAAGCCCTTTTCAAAATGAGAGGCTGTGATTCTGAAAAGATGGCTGCTCCTTCAAATGTTTGAAATCCTCTAATGAAAACAGAAGTCAATCAAAATAAGATCTTCTCATTGATATAGGACCATTATCTAGGAATCTCTTCTGAGAGAGCACCTTCTTCTCCTTTTGCTGCTTTCTTTCCCATCACATTTGCTGGCTTGTAAGACCCGGAAATTTATATATATTTTTCCTCCTAGTAACTTCTTACTTAAGGGATGCTTTTTTTTGTTTGTTTGTTTCTGCTTCATCATTCTCTGATTTAACATTTTTCTTATTATTTGGTGATGTGTTCAGGCATAAGGCAACAGGCTGTAAATATTCTGAATAAATAAATGAATATTTATTGGTTCCTTGGCGAACAGTTGAGGACAATGGACAGATGGAGGATACTGAAAAGGTGACACTGGAGACGGAACTGAGAGTGCAGTATAAGTACATTTTTTGCCTAGTGTGGTTGAAAACAGGAAAAAGCTACTGTTTCCGATCTTAATGAGAAGATGCAGCAGCAGTGTTAAACTCTTATATTGTGGTTGTGTGGTCTCTGCCTTATTATAATAATGTAAAGACCATCACTAAGAAGTGTCTATGTTGATATAAATTCAAGGAAGAACTAGAAAGTACACGTACTGTATTCCTGTGAAAACTAGTCTTACGAAAGAGAATTATAGCGTTCCATATACAATGGGTATAATTTCTCGATAAGACTAGATAGATCTTGTTTAAAATTATATTGTATTTAGTTTCATGCGTTAATTTAAACTGAAAATTTAATTAATACCAAACCAACGTATTAAAGCTCTGATTTCAAAGTATTATTTGGAAAAAAATGAATACATTTCTTCCAAATGTAAAATATATTGCACTTGCTTGCTTTTCTAGATAAATGAAGAATTTTTGCAAAAGTCAAAAGTCAAAAATTGTGAGATAACATAACTTCTGAGACTCAGTATTTTATATACACAACATACACTTCATTGTGAGAAATAAGGTGACATTATTACTGTCAGATAAACAAGTTGATGAACACAATAATCCAAATAGCTAAAAAAAACCATGGGCAATACAATTCATTTGAAAATCCACATTAATTTGAAGTTTTACTATCAAATCATCTCATAATGCACATACAATATTAAAAAAAACTGGACTTCTTTTGTTATCTACCTTGCCAATTGCATTCAATGAAAAGCTAATTTTAATATGTGGATTATCCTGGTTAATAATAATAGATTTCCCACTTTGTATGTTTCCTTCATCTTCTGTTAAAGATCTTTTTCTCAATACCTACCAATACACATTTTGGTAAAATCTGTAAAAGTCAACTTAAAAGTTTTCATTTCAACTTTATCATGGAAAATTGATCAACCAGCATTCACATAAACCTGGTCTAATTTTGCTTATTTTAGGAAACTCTTCAGTCTGACACAACAAAAGCAACAGGAAAAATTACAGAAAACAAGGAGAATTTTTTTCTATTTGTTTTGTTTACCAAATGTGACTTCCAAACTATGTGACACCCACCTTCAAATAAATTATTTCCTCTGGACGCAAGCATAAATATTAGTTTATTAAAAGATATAACTTTCAGTGTATCTTCCATAAACATTTATTAAAACTTTTAGTATATTCATCATTTTTAGTTTTTCTGTTACTACCTAACAAAAATGTTCCATTTTGAAGGACTAGAAATCTAACATTACATATAAAAATACTGGAATTCCATTAACACATGCACATCTCTAAAGACACTTCCAAAGTTTATGTTACTAGACTCTGGAAGTCACCTGCTAGTGGAAAACCACAGCTGTAGTAGGCAATTGGCTAGCCCTACAAGTTTAGCAATTCTCAATACTCATTTGGGGCTTTGCTACTGGCTTTGTTTGTAAATGTCTGGTTTGGATTTGCCCAACCAAAACTGGAGACGGTTTTGCCAGTGCTGATCAGCTTTCTTTAAAACAAAAAGTTTAATCAGAATCTCCAGGAGATCATCATCTAATTTGAGAACCTCTAATTTGATACATTTTTTCCTAGGGATGGGTTCTAAAATTTTTTACTACCAGTTCTGTGGCCGTGGCTTATTTTGTGGGTGTGGCTTCATGGTCATGTGACTGGGAGGGTATGACCAACTCAATGTCATTCACGTCAAGGGGTCCCTCGCCTTTCCTCTCCCCTCTCAGCCATTCCTTGTCACACCCAGTCTCAATGTATATCTATAGTTCTGTAAAAATGTTGTTCACCTTTTTTCAACTTTATTATCTACATACTATAGATGTACTTTCAAGGACCACTGAAAGGAGGAAATGGCTCACATGCTTTGCCCAAAAGTGTGATAGGCAACAGACTTTTAAGGGGCTGCCAGAAAGAATGTATAGGTAATGTATTTTCCAAAGCACCAGAAGGCAAAATAAGAAGCAATGGATGGAAACTGAACAGAGAGAAGCAACCTAAAACTAAGGAGAAACTTCCTGACAGTGAGAACCAATATAGGTGCAGAAATATTTCAATTCATAATTTCATGTATAAAATAGCCATTTGTGCATATTGTTCAAAACAGTAATTAGTATTATGGCTGATATTTGACAGCAAGCGTAAAAGTCAAAGATCGTAAGTATGCTTCTTTCTCTGTATGTATACAAAACATCACATCAAAAGGAATATCATATTAAAATGGACTTATGCAACCTGATGTACAAAATAAACACATACATATTTACCGTATTTTTCGGAGTATAAGATGCACCTTTTTACCTCCCATAAGGGGGTGAAAATTTAAGTGCGTCTTATACACCAAATGTAGCCCTGCCCACCCACTGGCTCCCACCCTTTGGCCTGTGCTTCCAGCAGTTACCTTCTTGCAAGCAAACAGCAAGAAAAAACAGCTCCTTTCAGCTTCAGCATAGGTTAATTAGCACAAGTTGATTAGATCGACCTCCCGACTCTCAGCCGATTTGCTCTCAGCTGTTCTGCGCAGGGCTCTGCTGCTTGATGCAAAGAGTGCTGGAGCAGATTTTTTTCCCTAGCTATGCTGAAAAACGAAACTGAAAGCTTTGCTCCAACGTGGCAAAATGAGGCAGAGAGAGATTTCTTTTTCTTTTTTCTCACCAAAAAAGGTAGGTGTGAACAAAGGTAGGTGGGAAATTTAGGGCAAAAGAGGGGAGTTCAAGATTTTAAAACACAAAAGAAAAAAGGCAAAAATAAAAATGGGAAAGGAGAAAAAGAAATGAAAGAGAAAGATGTTATACATATTTAGAATTGAAATATGAATAGTAGTAAGAAATAAATGGGAAATCATGATTGTAAAAATGAAATGAATAATAATTGGAATATTTTTCTATATGGGTAAAACTTTGGGTTATTGGGAGAATTTAAGATGTGAAAATGAGTAACATAAGGGGAAAGCTCTATTTAGGGAATTGTAATAATTGAGATACTATTAACTGTATATTGTGTTGAAAGCAGAAATGGTTAAGTTGTGGTTTGGAGGAATATTTGGGGGAAGTTATTTGGTTTATTATTATTGGTAAATATAATTAATTGATTTGTAAGAAATTGGATTGCATGGAAATAATTGGAATATTCATGTTCATATTGATTAATATACAAAAAAGATAGTCATATAACTAATTGATTTATATAAAAATGTTGAATTTGTATTAAACAATTGTAATATTACATAATTAACCAATGTGAGGATGGATATAAAAATAGATGACAATGGGAAGGGGTATAATATAAAATAGAAGGGAAAAATTGAATTTGATTAAGATTAGAGATGAGAATGAAGGGTAATATTGGTTTTTTAAAAAAAAATAAATGAGGAATAAATATGGCAAAAAGGAAATATGGAAATTGTAAATTTAATTGAAATGACTAAACACTGTTTAAATTTGTGAACCAGCCAAATACTCTGTTCAAAGAAAATACATTGTATGTTTGTATGTGTGTTTGTCTAAAAAATAAAAAAAATCCTTTTTTTAAAAAAAAACAACCAAAAAAGGTAGGTGTGTCTTATACTCCGGTACGTCTTATAATGCGAAAAATAAGGTATGCTCTGGACTATAGATATTGAATGCATGCAAATCCCTGAAAAATATGTGGTAGCCCTGGGCAAAAGGCAGTAAAATCACTCTAGGTGTAGGGACAGTGTAAAATATTAACAGATGATAAATAAAGGAACAATTAAAAATAATAGCACCGAGGTTTTTTTTTTCTCTCTTTCCCTTCCTCTTTCTTTCTCTCTTTCTCTCTGTTTCTCTGCCTTTTTTGGGGGAAGGTGTTTGTGGTTATGACAACTACTTTCAAAATTGTTATTGGATATTTCCTGTTACATGAAACTGTTAAAAGGGTTTTGCAGTCATATAATGCAACAAAACATTTTTTTAATGGTAAAAGTAAACTGACATATGAAGCTACTTCTAAATAACTACGTAAGAGAGGAATAAATATTTTTTCTGAAAATTACTGGTGCAAATACACAAAATTCAAGCTGTAATGTGTGGTAATATTATTTATAATAGAATTTTGGTGGAGGAAATAAGAGTAGCAAAGAGATTGACACATTGAGAACTACTTGAAAGTGATAAAGTCACTGTATATGAGTTGGGTAGCTATATAAATTTGTTTAATAAATACAATGAAAAAGGTCTTTGGGGATTCCAGAATTTACATGGCACTAATTGGATTTTTGATCTCCCTTTTATTTTGAGACATAATGGACTAGTTTTACTCTGTAACTAAATTACACAAGAGAATGTAGTATATATACCAAAAATAATTCAATAACAATTTAAACTGATACATTGGGCTAAGTGATGTAGGGCTTGATCTAATTTCAGGAAAGTTCAAGCCTCTATTAAGAAATACCTGCATTCTCTCTCTCCCTTCCTTCCTCTTTTTCTTTCTTTCTCTTTCTTTCTTTCTCTCTTTCTTTCTTCTTTCTCTCTCTCTTTTTCTCCTTTCTCCCTTTCTATGAAGAACTCCAGAAGGTCTTTGGTAGAAGGAAGAAAAGCCAGACATTTTGAAACTCAGAACATGCCCATTGATCATCTGGCATTCTTAGAGCTCCACTATTGATTAGCTTAGCCTGAGCAAGTATAGCTAGCAGCCACTTATAGTAAGCTCTCAACTCAAGCTCAGTGCACATGGGGATCCCCAAACAGTGAGGATAAAGTGTGAGTAAAAGAGTTTACCTTTCCCTCCCTCCCTCCCTCTCTTTCTCTCTCTCTTTCTTTCTTTCTCCCTCCCTCCCTTTCTCCTTTCTCCCTTTGGAGAGGGAGAACCCCAGAAGGTCTTTGATAGGAGGAAGAAAAGCCAGACATTTTGAAATGTTTTGTAGCTTAGCCTGAGCAAGGACAGCTAGTGAAGGCACTTATAATAAGCTCTCAACTCAAGCTCAGTGCACGTGGGGATCCCCAAACAGTGAGGATGAAGTGTGAGTAAAAGGGTTTACCCTTCCCTCCCTCCCTCCCCTCCCCCTTTCTTTTTCTTTCTTTCTTTTTCTTTCTTTCTTTCTTTCTTTCTTTCTTTCTTTCTTCTTTCTCTTTCTTTCTTCTTTCTTTCTTTCTTTCTTTCTTTCTTTCTTTCTTTCTTTCTTTCTCCCTCCCTTTCTCCTTTCTCCCTTCCTGTGAAGAACCCCAGAAGGCCTTTGGTAGGAGGAAGAAAAGCCAGACATTTTGAAACGTTTTGTAACTTAGCCTGAACAAGGCTAGCTAGCAGGCACTTACAATAAGCTCTCAACTCAAGCTCAGTGCACATGGGGATCCCTAAACAGTGAGGATTTCTTTCTTCCTTTCTCCCTTGAAGCCCCTCCCCCCTCCCCCCCCCCGCAGCCTGTTTTTACTTCCTGGGGACTACAGGGAATCAACCCCGTGCCCCATTTTGGGCTTAGCAAGCCTCCCTGCAGCTCCTGGGAGCCAAAACGGGGCGTGGGGGGGATGCAACTCAGTTGGGGCGCAGGGCAGGCACCACGTGGGAAGGCAGCTTAGGTAGGGAAGCCGCCTGGGTGGTGAGGAGAAGAAGAAAGTGACTGGGCGGGGCGGTGACCGGGGACCGGTTCGGAGGTGTGGCCAGCCAGCCATTACTACAGGTTCTGCGACTCTCGCCAATTTACCGCTACCGGTTCTCCCTTACCGGTGCGAACTGGTAGCAACCTACCCATTTTTTTCTGATGAACGTTGAAGTGTAGCATCAATGACTGAAAGAAATATATTGAGACTCTCATTCTAAACTATTATTTATTAAATCTTTAAACACAATTCATTATTGTCTTTATTTCCTTAATTTCCAATTAAAAATATACCGTATTTTTTGGAGTATAAGACGCACCTTTTTACCCCCCAAAAGGGGGTGAAAATTTAGGTGTGTCTTATACACCAAATGTAGCCCTGCCCACCCACTGGCTCCCACCCTTTGGCCTGTGCCTCGCAGCAGTTACCTTCTTGGAAGCAAACAGCAAGAAAAAACAGCCCCTTTCAGCTTCAGCATAGGTTAATTAGCACAAGTTAATTAGATCGGCCTCCTGACTCTCAGCTGATTTGCTCTCAGCTG